TGCTGGGATTACAGGTGTGACCCACCGCACCTGGCCACCATGCTTGACTTTAGGAATTACTTCACTTTCCCCAGCCGCAGTTTGTTTATTTGTACAAGGCAGGCAGTACTGGTGCTACCACCTCGAGAGCCTGTTTAAAGCAGGAACCCAGCAGGACACTTAACGCACCTTCTTGGTGGCCGTCCAGTAAAGAACATGGGGGTCAGTGACCCAGAGGGCAGCACAGACCTCTCCACTGCTTGTCACAGAATTGCAGCCTCTCTAACACCACACGCAAGATAACACAGGTCACTGGCCTGAGCCAGCTTGGGACATTTTCCAGAGTTCACTTTCTGGATCCTAACTATAACCCTTCCATTCCTTTTTCTTTCTTTCTTTCTTTTTCTTTCGTTCTCTTCTTTTTCTTTCTGTCTTTCCTTTCTCTTTCTTTTTCTTTCTCTTTTTTCTTTCTCTCATCTTTCTTTTTCTTTCTTTCTTTCCTTCTTTCTCTTTCTCTTTCTTTCCTTCTTTCTCTTTCTCTTTTTTCTTTCTCTTTTTCTTTCTTTCTCTCTTTCTTTTTCTTTCTTTCTCTCTTTCTTCTTTCTCTTGCTTTCTCCTTCCTTCCTTCCTTCCCTCTTTCCCCCTCTCTCTCTTTCTCTTTCTTTCTTTGATGGAGTCTCATTCTGTCACCCAGGCTAGAGTGCAGTGGCACAATCTTGGCTCACTGCAACCTCCACCTCCTGGGTTCAAGTGATGCTCCCGCCTCAGCCTCCCAAGTAGCTGGGACTACATGTGTGTGTCACCACGGCCGGCTAATTTTTGTATTTTAGGAGAGACAGTATGGCTGTGTTGGCCATGCTGGTCTCAAACCCCTGACCTCAAGTGATCTACTCATCTCGGCCTCCGAAAGTGCTGGGATTACAGGTGTGACCCACCATGCCCGGTCTCCAGAATATTTTCATCACCCCATAAAGAAACCCTGTACCCATTAGCTGTCATTCCCCATTCCTGGAACCCACTAGTCTACTTCCTGACTCCACGGATTTTTCTACTCTGGATACTTCATACAAATGGAATCTTATCCAGTGAATTATTTTGTGTCTGGTTTCTTTCACTGAGCATGTTTTTAAGGTTCATGTGCTATTGTAGAAGGAGTTAGTACTTCATTCCTTTTTAGGGTTGAATATAATTTCATCCTATGCCGGAGGCTGAGTCAGGAGGGTTACTTGAGGCAGGGAGTTCCCTTAGGCCACATAGCAAGACTCTAACTTTAAAACATCTTTGAAAAATCAAGCCTGGGCAGGGTGGTTCATGCCTGTAATCCCAGCACATTGATGGTCCAAGGCAGGCTGATCACCTGAGGTCAGGAGCTTGAGACCAGCCTGGCCAACACGATGAAAGCCTGTCTCTACTAAAAATGCAAAAATTAGCGGGGCATGGTGGCGAGAGCCTGTAGTCCCAGCTACTCAGGAGGCTGAGGCAGGAGAATTGCTTGAACCTGGGAGGCAGAGGTTGCAGTGAGCCAAGATCGCGCCACTTTCACTCCGGCCTGGGCGACACAAAATTCCATATCAAAAAATAAAAATAAAATAAAAATTAGCTGGGGGTTGGCAAGATGCAGTGTCTCACCCCTGTAATCTTAGCCTGTTGGGAGGCCGAGGGGGGCTGATCACCTGAGAATTGCTTGAACCCAGGAGGCAGAGGTTGCGGCAAGTGTAGTGGTGTGATCTCGGCTCACTGCCACCACCACACCCGGCTAATTTTTTGTATTTTTTAAGTAGAGACGGTTTCACCGTGTTAGCCAGGACGGTCTCGATCTTCCGACCTTGTGATCCACCCGCCTCAGCCTCCCAAAGTGCTGAGATTCCAGGCGTGTGCACCCAGCCCCTTCTTCCTATTCTTTCAAAGCCACCAGTTGCCCTCCTATGATAACCCATTATCTATTAACCCGTGGATCTATTAACGCATGAATGAATTGATCTGTTCATGAGGCCAGAATTCTCATGACCCAGTCACCCCTTAAAGGCCCCACCTCTGTCGACACTGACTGCTACATCGAGGATTAAGTTTCACCACGAGTTTTGGAGGGAACGAACATTGAAACTGTAGCACCAGGTGTTATCAGTCTATTAAAAGCTCATGCAAATTGATAAGCACCAAAGGTGCAAAGATCAGAAACAGACAATTCCCAGGAAGAGAAGGGGAGTCTAGGAGCCTAAGAGTGAATGTATTGGGCATCAGGGGAGGGCCTGTTGACCAGAGTTGGTCACAGCAAGGATCATTCCAATGCTGCCAGGACCTCAACACTTGCTTTCCAAAGGGGTGGCTGCCATTTCAATTGGAGAGACCCTTTGGATAATGCATACCCAGCATATAAGAGGGTTCATAGACCAGGTGTGGTGGCTCCTGCCTGTAATCCCAGCACTTTGGAAGGCTGAGGCAGGAGGAGAATTGCTTGAGTCCGGGAGTTCAAGACCAGCCAGGGCAACATAGCAAGAACCTGTCTCAATGGAAAAAAAAAAAAAAAAGGTCGGGCCCAGTGGCTCCTGCCTGTAATCCCAGCACTTTGGGAGGCTGAGGCAGGCGGATCACCTGAGGTCAGGAGTTTGAGCTCAGTAGCTCTGTAAAAATACAGATCACCTGAGATCAGGAGTTCGCGCTCAGTAGCTCTTTAAAAATACAATAATTAGCTGGGCATGGCAGTAATTAGCACACCTGTAATCCTGGTTATGGAGAGGCTGAGGCATGAGAATCGCTTCATCCTGGGAGGCGGAGGTTGCAGTGAGCCTATCGTGCCATTGCACTCCAGCCTGGGCAACAGAACGAGACTCCATCTCAAAAAAAAAAAAAAAAAAAAGGTTCATAGTCTGAGCTTGTGATTATACCACTGAAAATTACCCCCAAGCCACCTGTGGAAGGGCTGCCTGCAGGAGGACGTGTCTTAGGATCTTTAATTAAAGTTACCTTCTGGTTGGAAACTACCTAAATGCCCAGCACTCAGGTTGGCCCAGTAAATCATGCACCCATAGGAGTTACGGTCAGGAGGTCTGTGACCCTGTAGAGTAGTAGTGGCTCCTGGGCCCTGGGCCAAGCACTGTACTGATACCCTCAAATCCTCATAGTAACAGCCTGTTCAGTTCTGTTAGCCCCATTTTACAGCAAGGGGCTGCTCTGGGGGAGGAGAGGAGCCCAGCTGGGTGGGAGATCGTGGGTTTATGGTGACATCTGTGGGTATTCTATCCAATCAAGGGCCTGAGGCTTAAGAGGCTTGAATTTGGGGGAGACAGGGACACTCTAAATGGTGCAGTTAAAGCGGTGGCTTCAGGTCCAGGTGGGAGAAGAAGAAACAGCTAGGGAAAAGGGATGTATTCGTCTTTTTTTTTTTTTTTTTTTTTTTTGAGACAGAGTCTCGCTTTATCACCCAGGCTGGAGTGCAGTGGTGCGATCTTGGCTCACTGCAAGCTTCACCTCCCGGGTTCACGCCATTCTCCTGCCTTAGCCTCCCGAGTAGCTGGGACTACAGGTGCCCGCCACCTACCACGCCCAGCTAATTTTTTGTATTTTTAGTAGAGATGGGGGTTTCACCGTGTTAGACAGGATGGTCTCGATCTTCTGACCTCATGATCCGCCCGCCTTGGCCTCCCAAAGTGCAGGGATTATAGGCGTGAGCCACTGCGCCCGGCCATATTAGTCTTTTTTTTTTTGGAGACGTTCTTGCTCTGTCACCTAGGCTGGGCTGGAGTGTAATGGCACGATCTCGGCTCACTGCAACCTCCGCCTCCCAGGTTCAAGCAATTCTCATGCCTCAGCCTCCCGAGTAGCTGGGATTACAGGCATGTGCCACCAAACCCGGCTAATTTTTGTATTTTCAGTAAAGACAGGGTTTTCACCTTGTTGGCCAGGCTGGTCTCAAACTCTTGGGCAACAGTGATCTGCCCACCTCGGCCTCCCAAAGGACTGAGATTACAGGCATGAGCCACCGCCCAGTCTCAGTGGTCTTTCATCTTTGTTCCATCCTCATTCCTATTCAGTACCTGATGTGCTTCTGTCTTACTGGGGTGCACCCCGGGGGACGCATGACTGTGCTACAGCCCATGGGGTTTCAGCAGGGTAAGCAGAGGACCTCAGGTGGCCCTTGTTACCCACACTGCTGACTCAGGGAGCTCAGGCTTGGGGAGGGGTCACATGGAAATCACCCGGCTGGCCAGAGCAGTTGCAGCCACATCAGGTAGAGGGCAGGAGCCAGCAGTGGGATTGGGTGGGCCCCCGTGGGAGGGACGGCCAAACCCTGAAACTAGCCTCCACCCTCCAGGGTGCAGGGGCTTCCCTGGACACAAACTTTCCTTCCTCGTCCTCCTCTTTATACCATTGCACCCGGGTTTGTTTGTCTGTTTTTAGTGACAGGCTTGCTCTGTCACCCAGGATGGAGTGCAGTGGCATGATAGCTCACTGCAATCTCCGCCTCCCAGATTCAAGCGATTCTCTTGCCTCAGTCTCCTGAGTAGCTGGGATTATAGGCATGTGCCACCACATCCGGCTAATTTTTTAATTTTTTTTTTTTTTAGTGGAGACGGGGATTCATTATGTTGGGCAGGCTGGTCTTGAACTCCTGATCTCAAGTGATCCACCTGCCTTGGCCTCCCAAAGTGCTGGGATTACAGACATGAGCCACCGGCACCTGGCCCCTGGGGTTTTCTTTACCCAGATCCCTGCTGCCTTCCGTTCCTGTGGCTGACGTCTCCCTACCTTGTCCCCCAGAAATGCAGCTGCTTTGTCCTCAACCACAGCTCCTGCATCCAGTGCAGGGCCCGGCTCTTGACTGAGACATCAGCAAATGTGAGCCCTGCTCTCCTGGGTCACTGCAGGCTCCTTCAGGAAGGAGGCGGGGATCTGTCCCCCTTGGCATCCCCAGTGCCCCGCATGGGGGGCCTGGCACCCACGAGGCAGTCGAAGCTTGCGGACCGGATGAACAAGCAGTGAGCCCTACCTTCGAGGGCCTCTCTTGAGGACACCAGGTGGGTTTATGACATCCCAGCAGACACGAGGCCCCCAGGGACCAGTCCCTCTCCGGCACTGGCACCAGGGCCCTTGCCCCACTAGATCGGGCCTCCCAAGCTTGGGGTCCCTTTTCCAGTCGGCAAGAGAGGCACTCCACTCCTGCTCCAGCCCAAGGAGAACCTGCCAACTCCAAGGGGTGGCCATTGAGGGGATCCGTGACATAAGTCCTTCAGAGGCAGCAGGGACAAGGAGCTGTAGGGAGAATAGGGCAGGCCTGGGGTGGGGGGTGCTGGCAAGGTGCAGACCCACCACCCCAGCCCAACCCCTCCTCCGCAAATCCCATCATCTCTGCCCTGTGCCCCATGAACAAACCAGCTCCTTTCCAGCCCAGTGACCAGCACAGGCTCGAGACGTTTCCCTCAGACATTGTCTGCCTGACCACCTCTTCCAGCACAGCGAGGGGCATGGGATCTGGAGGCCAGAGCGGGCCAGGCCTAGGGGTGGGGAGAAAAACATCACTATTCTTAGATCCCTCGTCCTCCAGGGCTCGTCCTCCAGGGCTCGGGTCAGGCCGAGCAGTCACATTCCAGAGGTAGAAGCCATCAGCCCACACAAATGCTTCTGTTCCCTGAGGAGGCCAAGGGTCACCAGGAACTAAAATCAGCTTTTCCCAAGAAAAGCAGGAGACGGGGTGGGGGGTGGGGGCCAGGGGTAGAAAGGCCAAAGGTCACCCAGTAAACACCTTCCAGCTGCCCCTGCTGGGAAAGCCCCTCTGAGTCCAGACGGATGAGGACAGAAGCATTCTCACCCTCTAGGCTACCCGCTGGCTGATTCTTCCTGGTAGGGGGTGGTCCTGTGCATTCTAGATTATTGAGCAGCTCTCTGGCAGCCCACCGCCCGCACCCCCTCACCACCCCCACCTAAGTGGTGACAGCCAAATCTCTCTCCAGGCACGGCCAGGGTAGGTATTTGGGGTAGGTATTTAGGAGCCTGCTGTTCTATGGACTCTGTTCTCGGCCTGGAATCCTCTTCCCACATAGCACAAACCCCCGCCAGCCCTGCAGTCTTCCAGAACTAAACCCACACATCACCTCGCTCAGAAAGTTTCCCGTGGACCCCCCCATCTTACGAGTTTTGCCCCCACGGATGCTGTGGTAGGTAAAATAATGCCCCCTTGGTCAGATACGGTGGCTCACACCTGTAATCCCAACACTTTGGGATGCCGAGGAGGGAGGATCGCTTGAGCCTAGGAGTTTGAGACCAGCCTGGACAACATAGCAGGACACAGTCTCTACAAAATATATATATATATATATATATTTTTTTTCTTTTTTCTTTTTTTTTGAAACGGGGTCTCACTCTGTCACCCAGGCTGGAGTGCAGTGGCCAGATCTCAGCTCACTGCAAGCTCCGCCTCCCGGGTTCATGCCATTCTCCTGCCTCAGCCTCCCAAGTAGCTGGGACTACAGGTGCCCGCCACCTCGCCCGGCTAGTTTTTTTGTATTTTTTTAGTATAGACGGAGTTTCACCATGTTAGCCTGCATGGTCTCGATCTGCTGACCTCGTGATCCGCCTGTCTCGGCCTCCCAAAGTGCTGGGATTACAGGCTTGAGCCACCGTGCCCGGCCTCTACAAAATATTTTTAAAAATTAGCTGGGGCTTGGCGTGGTGGCTCACGCCTATAATCCCAACATTCTGGGAGGCTGAGGTGGGCGGATCATGAGGTCAAGAGATCAGGACCATCCTGGCCAACATGGTTAAACCCCGTGTCTAGTAAAAATACAAAAATTAGCTGGGTGTGTTGGCATGTGCCTGTAGTCCCAGCTACTCAGGAGGCTGAGGGAGGAGAATCGCTTGAACCTGGGAAGTGGAAGTTGCAGTGAGCCGAGATTGCACCGCTGCACTCCAGCCTGGTGACAGAGTGAGACTCGTATCCAAAAAAAAAAAAAAAAAAAAAAAAATTAGCAGAGGCTGGTTGCAGTGGCTCATGCCTATAATCCCAGCACTTTGGGAGGCCAAGGCAGGTGGATCCCTTGATGCCAGGAGTTTGAGATAATTCGGCCCAGCAAGGTGAAACCCCAACTTGACTAAATGCAAAAATTAGCCAGGCGTGGTGGCACATGCTTGTAGTCCCAGTTGTACTTGAGAGGCTGAGGCAGGAGAATTCCTTGAACTTGGGTGGGGGGTGGGGGCAGAGGTTGCAGTGAGCTGAGTTTGAGCCACTGCATGGCCCTTGGCTACAGAGCAAGACTCTGTCTCAAAAAAAAAAAAAAAAAAAAGGTCTCTGTGGTTCATGCCTGTAATCCTAGCACTTTGGGAGGCTGAGGCAAGTGGATCACGAGGTTGGGAGTTGAGACCAGCCTGTCCAACATGGAGAAACCCTGTCTCTACTAAAAATACAAAATTAGCTGGGGCGTGGTGGCACATGCCTGCAATCCCCGCCTCAGTGAGACCAGTCTGGCCAACAAGGTGAAACCCCAACTTGACTAAAAATACAAAAATTAGCCAGGCGTGGTGGCACATGCTTGTAGTCCCAGTTGTACTTGAGAGGCTGAGGCAGGAGAATTCCTTGAACTTGGGTGGGGGGGGTGGGGGCAGAGGTTGCAGTGAGCTGAGTTTGAGCCACTGCACTTCAGCCTTGGCTACAGAGCAAGACTCTGTCTCAAGAAAAAAAAAAAAAAAAAAAAATGTGAGGAGGCAGGAGGGTCACCGTCAGAAAGAGACTGGAAGAGGCCGTGCTGCTAGCTGTGAAGGTGGAGGAAGGGGCCCCAAGATGAGACCTGTGGGTACCTCTAGAAGCTGGGAAAGGCTGAAAAATGGAGCCTCTAGGAGGAGCCACCCTCATCAACGCCTTAATTTTAGGACATCTGACCTCCAGTGCTGTAAAATCATAAGTCTGTGTTGCTTTAAGCTGCTCTGTTTCTGGTCATTTGTTTCAGCAGCCACAAGAGACTCATACCAGCCTCTGCTCTGCAGCCCCGAGTCAGCCCTGGAGAGCCGCCAGGCAGTCAGGCTGGCATTTGCCCTTCCTGGTACGAGCTTTGTAACCTGGCAGAGCTGCTGGCCGTGACAAGCATCTCCTAGGAGATGGGGGAACTCAATGGAAAAAGGTTTCGGAGTCAGGGCTTAGGTGGACCACATTCCTTCAAGCTTTATGCCATAGAGAGCTTCGCTAGGGAGGTGGAGAAGCAGACAAAGTGACTCGTATTCTCTCCAATTTATTTATTTAATTTATTTTCAGACGGACTCTCTCTCTGTCATCCAGGCTGGAGTACACTGGCTTGATCTTGGCTCACTGCAACTTCCGCCTCATGGGTTCAAGTGATTCTCCTGCCTCAGCCTCCCAAATAGCCGGAATTACAGACATGCACCACCACGCCCAGCTAGTTTTTTGGTATTTTTAGTGGAGATGGAGTTTCACCATGTTGGCCAGGCTGGTCTCCAACTCCTGACCTCAAATAATCCACCTGCCTTGGCCTCCCAAGGGATTACAGGCGTGAGCCACCATGCCCAGCCCTGTTTATTGCTTTTTTGGTTTTGATTTTTCTTTTTTTGAGACAGAGTTTCGCTCTTGTTTCCCAAGCTAGAGTTCGATGACAGGATTTTGACTCACTGCAACCTCCGCCTCCTGAATTCAAGCGATTCTCCTGCCTCAGCCTCCCTAGTAGCTGGAATTACAGGCGTGTGCCACCATGCCCGGCTAATTTTTGTATTTTTAGTAGAGACAGGGTTTCACCATGTTGACCAGGCTGGTCTCGAACTCTTTACCTCATGATCTGCCCACCTCAGTCTCCCAAAGTGCAGGGATTACAGGCATGAGCCACCGTGCCCAGCCCAGACCGAGTTTTTGATTCAGGGTGGGAGAGTTTATCAGAGGCTTGGACTGCTTCTGTGTCTCTGTTGTGCTTGTCTGGGAGGGAGAGTTGTGTGTCTGTCCCCATACATCTTCCTGCAGCTGCAGGCATACCCCCCTCCTCTCCTCCGCTAAAGTCAGCCTTTAGCTTCCCTATTTCAGCGCACCTGAAGGGAAAGGAATGTGCTTATTAAGTAAGGCCTCAGTGTTTTACTGGGGCCCATTGTATGAGGGTGAAGTTTGGCAGTTACCCAAGAGACTTTCCCCCTATTTCCCTCTGTGCCCGAGCTGTCTTATCTGTGTTTTACTATCTGCTCTTTCTGGCTGCTTGTGGGTTGGAAGATAAGTGATTTCCTTGAAATGCAAGAGGCTAGAGAGGGAGCTGGAACTGAAACTGGCGGGGTTTGTCCCAGATGACGGTGCTCCTGCTCTATCATTCCAGACCCTATAGTTGTAAAAGGACAAGGGGCGATGTGTTCTTTCTGGCTACTTCCTGCTGATGTTGGGGGTCGGGGGAGGCGCGGAGAGTTTTCTGGTCTTGGATTGACTGCAGGAGCAACATTGTGTGTAGATGTTTTTGAGTAGTTGTCTACGAAATGGCCATGATTCTGTCGGTTGAAAATTTTTTAAAAAGGTTAATTAGGCAGGGTAAAAACATTAGTCCTAGACTCTTCAGCAGCGTTTCTTTTTCCTTTCTTTCTTTCTTTTTGATACGGAGTCTTGCTCTGTCACCCAGGCTGCAGTGCAGTGGTGCAATCTCGGCTCACCGCAACCTCCGCCTCCCAGGCTCAAGCGATTCCCCTGCCTCAGCCTCCCGAGTAGCTGGGACTACAGGCGCACATCACCACGCCTGGCTAATTTTTTTGTATTTTTAGCAGAGATGGCGTTTCACCCTGTTAGCCAGGATGGTCTCGATCTCCTGACCGCCTCAGCCTCCCAAAGTGTTGGGATTACGGGCATGAGCCACCGCGCCCAGCCTTCAGCAGCGTTTCTTATTAGGTCTGATTGGTTGAGACAGAAGCAACATTTTTTTCCCAATGACAGGCAGAGGCAGGTGTTTGGGAAGACCCGTGTGTTATTTTTTTGTTAGCAACTGTTATTCCTGATAGGAAAATAACTAAGCCAAATGCTACAGTAATTGAGATTCTCTGTCTGATATTCCGCCCTGGGGATGTTATAGTATATAGTTCTACTGCAAATAGTAGATAAAGCAATTCCCAGAGGGTGGCGTAGTAAATAATTTTCATTAAAAAAGGTTTTAATATTTGGCTTACAAGGAGATGTAGAAGTGACAAAAAGTATTTGGTGAGGTAGGTGAGACTAAGGTGGGTAATTTTCACTTAGTTACTTATCTTTTTTTTTTTTTTGAGATGGAGTCTTGCTCCATGGCTCAAGCTAGAGTGCAGTGGCGTGATCTCAGCTCACTGTAACCTCCTGTTTCAGCCTCCCTAGCAGTTGGGATTACAGGTGCCTGCCGCCACACCCGCTAATTTTTGCATTTTCAGTATCGACGGGGTTTCTCTCCTTGTTGGGGTTGTCTCAGGCTGGTCTCAAACTCCTGACCTCAGGTGATCCACCCACCTCGGCCTCCCAAAGTGCCCGGATTACAGGCGTGAACCACTTTGCCCACCACTTATCTTTTATGATTTTCAGATTAAGATTTCTTATTTTTTTTTACATTGATCGGACATTTTTCTGGGCTGTTAGGGGTTGCTTTCTCCGCTTTTCAGGCTTTGACTTAAGTGTAATGTATCCAGGAGTTGATTTCTGTAACAGATATAATTTAAACTGTAGACAATAATAAAAATTGAAAAAATTAGGCAAGACTAGAATGTAACAACAGGTGTGCTATAGTTTTGTTTTTTTTTTTTAACTATACTTTAAGTTCTAGGGTACACGTGCACAACGTGCAGGTTTGTTACATACGTATACATATGCCATGTAGGTGTGTTGCACCCATTAACTTGTCATTTACATTAGGTATGTCTCCTAATGCTATCCCTTCCCCCTCCCCACAGGTGCACTATGGTTTTTTGTTTTTGTTTTTGTTTTTTTTGAGACGGAGTCTCGCACTTTAGCCCAGGCTAGAGTGCAGTGGCACGAACTCGGCTCACTGGAAGCTCCGCCTTCCGGGTTCACGCCATTCTCCTGCCTCAGCCTCCCGAGTAGCTGGGACTACAGGCGCCCGCCACCACGCCTGGCTAATTTTTTGTATTTTTAGTAGAGATAGGGTTTCACCATGTTGGCCAGGATGGTCTCGATCTCCTGACCTCGTGATCCACCTGCCCTGGCCTCCCAAAG